AACTTTCAGCTGTGTTCAGAATCCAGCCATGGCAAATAGCTAAAGCAATTCAGCATCTGACTGTGGAACTCACTTAGGAATTCCCCAACAGTGAAGCACAAGAAAAGGAAATGGCCTTTCTCCTATTCTTTGGTATGAAGGCCAAAGCCCAGTCTCAGATGAAACATGTAGGAATAGGCAGGTAACAGCAACCTGTTTTGCAAGGAAAAAGAATAATAGTCAGAATCCTCAAAGCAGAATTTGTTCTGTAATACTCTACTGCCACCAACCGGGTCATTTAGGTATCAGGAAAGCAGAGTAAAAAAAAAATGACAAGCATATAGATTCAATACTGAGTTTTATCCAATACCAGTGTTGTCACGTGCAGAGTCAGATCATTGGTGCCATCTAAGCCCAAGACTGTTGATTTTGACAGGTAGCAGCTTTTTGGGATTTTACAAGTGGGATTTCTCCAAACCCTCCCTGGAGCTTGTTAGAGTTAAAAATATAGCAGAAAACTGTAATGGCCTCACTGTGTGTTGTCAGCTGTTGAAAACAACAGCCGCATCTTGAAGCCACCTATGCTATCCAAAGACGTGTGTGTGTGTGTGTGTGTGTGTGTGTGTGTGTATGGCTGGAGTTATTGTGGTACCTGACTCCTTTTGTGTAAGGGGCTTAAAGGGAAATGAAGCATCCCATGTAAAATGGTGTCTCAAAAGGGATCCGTTTTAAAAAAATCTACTGGTATGCTTGAAATAGTTGAGATAAAATGGAAGGAGGTGATTCTGTGTTTTGGGGGAGGTTGCGTAAATTCTCCACCTTCTTTAAAGATGGAATCACACGAACAAGACAATTCCACCTGCTTTCCCACCTTTGTGGGATGAAATCCTAAAACTCTGGAAACCAGTTTAAATTTCAGCTGGAGCATGGAAACCTACTGGATAAATTTGGGCAAATCACAACTTTTAGTACAGAAAACTCTTTAATAGGTACACTTTAGGTTCACCATTTATTGGAAACATTTTGAAGGCACGCAACAATATCTATAATATCCATGATATCCACAATATCCATGAGGATTAACTGCTTCATGTTGTTCCCCACAGTGAAATACTATCTCCATTTGCAAAAGTCTGTGCCCAGAAGGTGTACTTTCTTTGAATAACACTTCTTTTTGAAAAGGAATTTCAGCCAAATGGTTTCTACCAAAGAATGAAATCCAATGAAATCAATCTGCCAGCTGAATGAGTATTGTTAGTGGAATGGATTGCCTTCCACTCTTCAACCTGAGTACACCCTTCTTCTGTTGCACAAAATTAGAACAAAAGAGATGTAGAGAGTATGTGAGGTGTGTCAGGGAAAGGAGAGTCGGGGGCCTGAAAATTGGACCACATGCAAAATGGACCAGTAATAATCAGATCCAAACAATGGGTAATCAACATTTTACTGAAGGCTCTGCAGGCTAGACTCCTCAATCTGTGATCTGCATATTTTGCAGCATTCTAGTCCTTGTATTGTCAAAGGCTTTCATGGCTGGAATCACTAGGTTCTTGTGGGTTTTTTCGGGCTATAGGGCCATGTTCTAGAGGCATTTCTCCTGACGTTTCGCCTGCATCTATGTCAAGCAACCTCAGAGGTAGTGAGGTCTGTTGGAAATAGGACAATGGGTTTGTCCAATTTCCAACAGACCTCACTACTTCTGAGGATGCTTGCCATAGATGCAGGCGAAACGTCAGGAGAAATGCCTCTAGAACATGGCCCTATAGCCCGAAAAAACCCACAAGAACCTATTCTAGTCCTTGTTTTATTACAGTTGCAATATAGTTGTTCTGACACTTTTGTTGTGCTATGCTTGCTGTTCTTGTAGTTCAGAAAACTTCATTACCTGCAACCATTGTATTCTACTCAAGTGAATTGGTGAGGTTTATAGGAAATAATACTCATAATGTAGAATTAATGTAGTTTGACGCCACTAACCCCACTTTAATTGTCATGGCACAAATGCTATGGTATCCTTGGATTTGTAGTTTTCCAAAGCACAAGAATTTATTTGTTTATTTACCATATTTATATACTGCCCCTCTCAACTCGGAAGCGACTCGAGGCGGTTTACAGTCGGCAGTCAATGCCCCCAAACAACATAAATACAGTTAAAAACATTATGTATAATATAAACCATATAAAAGCAATAAAACAATAAAAAACATAAAACACAAGTCCTCAGCGTCTCATCACTAAAATCATTTTTCCATCGCATTGTCCAATTGCTCCATGGGTCTCAGTCTGTTACACTGTGTCTGCAAAGCCTGCTCAGGTTTTAAAACAGCCAGGTTTTAACTCTCTTTCGAAATGTTATGAGGGAGAGGGCCAATCTAATATCCCTAGGGAGGGCGTTCCATAGCCGAGGGGCCACCACTGAGAAGGCCCTGTCTCTCGTTCCCACTAATTGCATCGGTGAAGGGGGCAGGACCGAGAGCAGGGCCTCACCAGACAATCTTAAGTTCATAGGGAGAGATGCGTTCAGACACGTAAACTGGGCTGGAACCATTTAGGGCTTTAAAGGCACAGAACTTTGAATTGTGCCCGGTAGCAAACTGGCAACCAGTGGAGCTGGCACAACAGAGTTGTGTGCTCCCTGAGCACCACTCCTGTTAACAACCTGGCTGCTGCCCTTTGGACCATTTGAAGCTTCCAGTCTTCAAAGGCAGCCCCACATAGAACGCATTGCAGTAGTCTATACGGGATGTAACCAGAGCATGGATTACTGTGGCCAAGTCAGTCTTCCCAAGGTACAGGCACAACTGGCGCACAAGTTGATGACAATGAAACCGGCATCAAACTGCATTAATTATACAGTGCAGATACACTCCATGTGAATTTTACCATAGGAATTCATCCATGTCCGATTATAGAAAACAACAACAACAATACCTCCTTGGGGTAAAATAAAAAGGACCATAACAGATACTGATTCAAACAAAATCAGTTTGTTCAATTTAGTTAAACCAATGCAAAATTGATGTCTGGCTACACTTAAATCTATTTGCATTTGGCCTGCATTGATTCGCTAAGACTTTAAGCCTGTCAAGATTTACTACTTGCTAAATTTCATGCCCCGAGTAGCCTTATTGATTTTAATAGTGGGCAGAATCGTGCATTTTGTGGCAGAAGTACACTTGTGTCAATGCATCATTGTCTGAAATGAGAGCAAATTATTGGAATGGGAGATTGAATAATGCAGCTACAGGTCTTGACAGCAGGCATGTAGCTGGGGGGGGGTTGAGGGGCTTCAGCCCCCCCCCCCCAAAATTCTCAGCGTGGTCCGCAAGAAAGTCTTACTGGTACATTATTTAAACTGTTATGTTCATTCATATCATGATCTGATCGCCATGCTCAATATATCCCATATGCATGGGGGTATTGAGATAACGATACAAAAGGTTTGCTAGGGTAGATCCTCAGCCCCCGAATCAAACTCAGTCCTCCCCCCCGCCCCTGAATGTGCAGGCCTGATCTAAGGTCATGACACTTATTCTCTCCTAAATGTGGGCCAAAAGAGCTATCAGTAAGTTCTGTGATTCCTTGGCAGGCATGTCCACAAAGGTAGAAATATAGCTTGACTCTCATATCCATAGGGCAGATGTTCCTGGACCTTCCATGGATAATAGCAAGCTGTTATTTTATATGGGACAAATAACAGAGGTGATGAGAAGAGGATGTAGTCTATACAGGAAGCATTAGGTGGATGAGTGAAATTACATATTTTGGCTCCACAGAGACACCTAAAAGTAATTCAAGAGAGCCACCTAATGGAGAACTGGATTGCTGCAACTTCCTTGATAGGATTTCTGACACAAATTACAGCTACTAGTAGAATCAAAGGCAGGAGAGACTGCCAAGGGCAGTCTAGTCCAACTCCATTCTGTCATGCGGGAATACTTAACCAAAACACTCCTGATAGATTACCATCTATCCTTTTTAAAAACCTCTATAGAAGGTGACTCCATCACCCTCCGAGGCAGCCTATTCCACAATATTGTAGTTATTTACTCAGGATGTACTAAAATAAAAATGCATTGCTCCTCCCTCACCCCTTGAGTCAGTTTATGGTCCTGATATCAGGAGAGCCACAAATTGCCCATGCCTGACTGAGCTGAATGAAGAAGGAATGTGCATCAGGATGAAAGGAAGTGCCATAAGAAATATTGCTCTTCACAGCAGTCAGCAAAACAGGTGCTTGGCAATGTGTATGTGCATGTACATAATCTGGTATTCAACACTTGGAAAGCTTTGGGTGCAGGGTAATTAATGCACATTTTTACCTCACAGGCCTAAAACTGAACATTTTAAGGCAAAGTGATATAGAGAAATGGGGTGAATCAATGTAAGCACTTTTGATTGACGGCATTTGTCTGAGTTTGGGGTAAACCTTTCACAACTGCAATCTTTTTTCTCCTGCTGCCTTGCCAACACTTGTGAGGCCGAGTGCAATGCACAGAGGTCTCTAGCCAAGTTACTAAGCAACTAGACATAGCTCAGATGGTACTTGTGTCTCCGTACCTTTAACCTCTCCAGTAAAAAGATGAGAACCTGCCCTTTTCTCTCTTCTGCAAAAAGATCCTCAAATATTAAGAGTTGGTTCAGTCTCTCTCTTCAAGATAATTTAAAACCCTGCTAGAATTTAGGGCAGAAGAAGGCAGGCACAGATTGTGATATGTATGCCCTTCCCATATCCATTCTATTGCTATTTGAGAGTATCCCTCCTCTATCACCAAAAACACTGCAGTGATGGCAAAAGTTGAATTCCCAACTTCGTTTTGTTGTGTCGCATACGTGGCTGTAAAAGGATGACAACTATGCAACCTGAAAGCTCCCCTTGATGGAGGTTGGGAGGACACTCTGTCTAGCCCTCCCTTTGATGTTCTTGTAGGCAGCAGGATGTGGGTCCAACCACTACATGGACTTTATATACTAAACTATATGAAGAACTTAATGTAGGAGGAAGGAAAATGATAACACCATAAAGAATGACATGTTTTTATTTAACAAACACATGTATATCAAATGTAAGAAAAGCTGGATCAGGGAATCTATCTCTGTTCTGTAAGCTGAGACAATCTGCCACATATTTTATTTCCTTTCTTCTCATCATAAGGAGGGTGAAACTGCTGGCTGAACCCAAAACCTTCCTCCCATCAAGCAGGAACCCTCTGTTCAGCACTCTTCAAGCCATCTTCACTCCCAATCTTGGATAAAAGGTGGGATATAAATAAAAATAACAATCAAAACCACATTCGAAGTTTTTAGGGCTGCATCATTATTTCCCATGTATATTCAGACCCTTTTTTGGCAGCCTGAATGGCCTGAAAAGTATTTTTAAAAATAAATAGTAAAAATGCATAATGTTAAGGCTGCTAAGTACGCTGCTCCTTTCTGTTTTTTCTGCACTCTTGCAGTGCAGTTCTATCACTGTAGGGAACAGGCAGCTCTACCAATCACTACCACTTTTTCTCTCTAAACGGCAAAGTCCTTGATCACGGCAGAGATCTGGTCTCTTTGGATTTAAATAGCAGGAGGTTCCTGTCCCAACTGGTGCTACCAAAGCAACACACCAGTTCCATGGCACAGCCCTTGGTCAAGATCTGTGTGATTTCCTCTGCCATGTTCCCACTGATGGTGAGCGATCGGAAATGGTCGAAATCATTCCTTCCCAGTTTCCGCAGGCGTCGGGCAGCTGCCCGGTAACACTTCCATGGCTGAGGCTCAATGAGCAAATATGTACATTGTGAGGCAAGGCAGGACAAGAACTTCACCAAGCCACTGTCCCCATGGTTCAGGTGGATCCACATAGTCACAGACATACAGAAGCAAATATCAAAGGTAAAGCGGCCAAAACTGCTTAGATAGGAACTCAGCAGCACCTCCCTTGCATCGGTGTCCATGATATCAAGGGTGGCATAGGAGATGGCACCCGGGAAGGGGCTGCATTTCTTGGCTCTTTCAATCAACCCAGGGTCAATGTCACAGCAGAGGAGGCACAGATCCTTTTCAGGCACTGAGCACACATGGCTAGCTTCACTCTTTCCAAACCCAAGAAGGTGGCTGTAGAGGGCAGTGCTGAGCTCCTGAGGAGATAAGGAAAGAAGAAGCCTTTCAGCTTGGATGTTCTGCTCTCAAACACATACACTGAAAAGCCAAGCAGCCCTCCAGCCCTAGGGCAAACTTTGCCTGGCTCTTGAGAGTCCTCACAAAATCAAGATACAATCACAATATAAACAGTGCTCCGAAATGAAACAGCATTGCTTTTCACATTGACAATGAAAGTTGAATCTGTAGTATTGATTTTTAACACAGTAAGACACCATGAACCATGGAACACATACCTCGTTTCATTTTCCTGTCCTTGGAGGTGGGGCATGAGTTCTCTAGGAATTTGCTGTGTTCTCTAGACAATACTATAATATACTTCCCCCAGATTACCATAAAGTTGCATTGGAGGTCCTAGCAAATTCCTAACGGGAATCTCTGGCGCTCCAACACAATTCTAGGGTATGCCGGGACAAGAAGTCATGCTATTTAATAGTAATTCATCATACCTGCAGTTTCAAGTAACCACATTCCAAATTTTGAACCCATCCCTGCCTTGAGTTGCCGTATGACTGAGAAAGATGGGCTATAAATATCGTAAATAAATAAATAAATGGCAGTGTGTACTCAGATAACCCAGTTCAAAGCTGATATTTTGGGCTATATGGCTGCGTGGAGGAGCCCTTAAAGGATCACTGACTGTGGCAGCTGCAAAGAGTTGTCCGTCATTCCTATCTGCCATTACCATTTAATTTTGTTTCTGGGTTGCTGTGAGTTTTGCAAGCTGTAGGGCCATGTTCCAGAAGCATTCTCTCCTGATGTTTCACCCACATCTATGGCAGGCTCCTCAGAGATGAGGTCTGTTGGAAACTAGGCAAGTGGGATTTATAATGACTGGCGTGTAAATAATAAATGCTTCTGGAACATGGCCATACTGTCCGGTAAATTCACAACAACCCAGTGATTTTGGTCATGAAAGCCTTTGACAACACAATTTTATTTCTCTTTTGCCACTATCTAAGGCCCCTCCTACGCTGTCCTATATCCCAGGATCTCACGTCAGATTATTGGTTTTGAACTGGATTATATCTACACTGCCAGATAACCTGGGATATGCAGATAATCTGGGATCAGATCCTGGGATATAAGGGCAGTGCAGAAGCCGCCTAAACTTGCAAATGACAAATTAAAAGTGTTCTGTATGTACGCATGCATTTCATTTATTCCTTTACATTTATTTTGATCCAGGCCCAAGTGGACTAGCATGTAAATAAGAATATAAATTTTGTAAAAAAATAAATCTCTGTGCAAGTAATTGTAAAGATCCAAATACACTTCCACAGATATACTTAAGAAACGCTTTTCTCTTTTTTTTTCTGTCCCTACGAAACCAGTTGCCAATTCTATGAAACACTGATACTGGAAGGGGAGCACACTTTGGAATCCCCCCCCCCTCTCTCTCTCTCTCCTCTTACCCCGGAATTGCACCCCACGTCCAGCCCCAAAAGCGGGCCGGCCCGTGGGCTGGGGAACAGCTGGCTCAGGAGCGCGGCGGGCAGGAGGCGGAGCCGCCCTTCCGGCGGGTGGAAGCGGGAGTAGTCCGGGAAGTTGCCGTACGGAGCCGCGCCGCCCGGGAGAACGGAACACGCCTCGCCCAGCAGCCCCTTCCCACTCTCGCTCACGGGCGCCGCCATCTTGGGAGAGCAACGCAGTGCCCGTCCGGCCGGGAAACATTGGACGCAACGAAGGTTCCGGGCGGAAAGATTTCGGAAGGGAGGCGGAAAAGACAATTGAACGGGTTATGATTCTGGAATTTTTTTTCTTTCCATTTTTCCTCACAGGAAAAATGTGTAGACCCTTAACAGTATATAATTCTGGATCCCAGAATATCCTGCTGCCTTCGACCTTGCCAAGCATTATTGTCTTATTCAGGGAGTCATGCCCTCTTGCAGTATGACAGACTCCTGTTAATCGTCTTGGCTTCAAAGCAAAGATGATACTATTCAATACGATTTTTTGTTCCTGGGTTGTAAGTGTCATTTCCTAATGGGTTATATCATAAAAACATGGAAAACGTTTATGAAACTGCAAAAGCTTTGTTTTTGTGGGACATCCTGCTGCACATTTTGCTATAGCTTTTCAACGAATATCTCACAGAGTCTCAACCCATTCAACCTAGTTTGTGGCAGCCACAAAAACCAAGTTTCTGGGGTATAACAACTACTTGCAAAGTAAGCACCACACAATTAAACAGGAAATAACACTTTCAAACCAGGAACAGATTTTTTTTTCAAATTTTGCTACATAGTGTTATTCAGATTTGATTATTAGCTCCTGGACTCATTTATTTGTCATTTATTTGTCATTGTAAAACTCTGACGGTACAGCCAAAGAAGGACACCAAAACTTTAGGCCAAAAACAGTTTAAAAAGCATCTCTGTGGAATTCAAAGACAACAGAAAAAAATAGGTTTATTTATACCATTAAGCCTAATTGACTGGAAACCATATGACATTGTCAAGAAGGAACGCAGAAAGGTCCTACTTCACCAAACTTCTAAAATATTTGTCGTCGTCGTCTTCATCGTCATGTAAACCACTCTTAATCCCCATGTTAACACATACTTAGGGCCAAATCCCTGGTTAAGCTCATTTAGGGCAGAGTTTCTGAAATTAACAGAATATATGTAAATCCTGACTAAAGTATTATGTTGATTTCTGTACTTAGGGTCTATCTACACTGCCGTATAATGTAGTTTGAAATTGCATTATATAATCAGTTTAGACTCATGTAATGCATCGAACTGCTTTATATGAGTCTACATTGACCATGTAGCATTGGCAATCACTCACAGCCGAGTATGATTATCTTCCAAGTGTTGTGTCTTGACGGTGAGTCTGTAGGTGGCTGTAGAGACCTATTCTTGGCCTGCATGTTCTTCCACAGTGAGGACATCTATTTCCAGGTGGAAGGCGGTCTTGATCAGGGTTGGCTTGACATGCCTGTTTCTCCCTTTCGCCCTCCATTTGTGCCTCTTCAAATTTAACAGCACTGCTGGTCACAGCTGACCTCCAGGTAGAGTGCTCAAGGGCCAGGGCTTTCCAGTTTTCAGTGTCTATGCCACAGTTTTTAAGGTTGGCTTTCAGCTCATCTTTAAATCTCTTTTCCTGTCCACCAACCTTCCATTTTCTATACTTGAGTCAAGAGTATAGTAACTGCTTTGAGAGACAGTAATCGGGCATTTGGATAATGTGTCCAGTCCAGTGGAGTTGGTCCATGTAATGCAGTTTTGAAGTGTATTATATGGCAGTGTAGTTGGGCTCCTGGCATAGGTTCACCTTGAAATCACCATAATCCTGAAAGGATCTCAAGGCTTACAGCACCTATGTCTTTGACTCATTGAATACACATGTGTACAGTTTATTCTGTGTACAGTGTACATCTGTGTACAGTTACAGTATTAATTACCTTGGAGCTTAAGTGTCAGACATTTAAGGGTTCATGACATCAGACTGTAAGCGGCTGAGTATCAATTTATTTACAAACAGGAAGCAACAGCTCAATTTTATGGTATATAATGGTATGTTGACCTGATAACTGCATTTGCTTTGACTATTAGTCACACTCAAAAGCAAAGGCACCACTAGGATGTGGTTTACTGGCTGCTAGACAAGAGATAGACCTATTTTGCTTCTGTTAATGTGGGGTTTCTTGTATTAGTCATGAATGCAAAAAATCAGGTGAAAGCCAAGAAAAGTGTGGATGAAATTTTTGTATCACTTTCTGTGGAGCACCTTTCACTGAACTAGCATCGTTTTCCAATTCGTTCAAAAACAGAGATTGGTCCAATATAACAGGGATTTATGCTATGCTTTTCCATTGTAGAGATATTAAAGATGGCCAAACAGAATTATAATTAATCATTCAAATTAATCAGTTATCCTGACTGTTATTTTTAATTAGAAGCCAAGTCTCAAGTTGTTATTTAATGAATTGCACCTGAAAATCCAAGTTGAAGTAACGATTAAGACCATTTTAGCAGTCCATCAGAACATGAGAAGCTGTAGATGGGTCTAGATTCCGAGTGTCACAATGAGAACAGTCTATTGAGCCCATTCTGGTATTTCTGTGATTGGAAAGCTCAAAAGCTCAAAATGGGGTTTTAGAACTTAGGTCAGTTTTATGGGGGAAGGTGCAACAACCAAAGTACATAAAGACCTTATTATTATTATTATTATTATTATTATTATTATTATTATTACAGATCACTTGGGGTGTGTGTTTATAAAGGATAATCATCCTCCGTTGGCTCTCATGAAAGCCCAAAAATACAAGAGGAAACTATGGTACCATCCCACATGTTTTTATCTATTTATGGTGATTCTTTTTACCTGATGGTTTACAGAAGTCTGTTACGACTTTTGTGTAAAGGAGGATCAATTCTTGATTGCCAGCAGGTGGTGCCATCCTTTTAAGAAATATTAATGGCTTTAAAGTCTGTTTTCTAAGGCATAACTTCTTGAACTTTTGCTCCTGGGACACTTTTTAACACAGCTTTTTTTTGTAAACGTGACCCAGGATATATAGGTGTATAAAAATAAAACTTTTACTGATAACAAATCATTGCAAGGTTTGCTAATCAGGCTGATTTTTCTTTTTATGGAGTCTTTGTAGACAACAATAGTGTGCTGCAGCAGCTAAAAAAGCCAATGAGATTTTGGGCAGCATCAAAAGGAGTATAGTGTCTAGAACAGTGGTTCTCAATCTGTGGGTCCTCAGGTGTTTTGGCCTACAATTCCCAGTTTACCAGCTGTTAAGATTTCTGGGAGTTAAAGGCTAAAACATCTGGGGACCCACATGTTGAGAACCACTGGTCTAGAATCAAGGGAAGTCGTGGCACCTCTCTATTCCGCTTTGCCCAGACCTCACATGGAATACAGTGTCTAATTTTGGGCAACGCTGTTCAAAAGAGATATTGACCAGAGGACGGCATCTAAAATGATCGACGGTTTGGAGGCCATGCCATATGAGGAGTGTCTTAAGAAACTGTATTTTTAGCCTGCAGAAGAGAAGGTTGAGAGGGGACATGGTAGTCATACACATATGTGAAAGGATGTCATAAGAGGGAGAAGGCTTATTTTCTTCTACCCTTGAGACTAGGACTCAGAGCAATGGGTTCAAATTTCAGGAAAGGAGATCCCACTTGGACATTAGGAAGAACTTCCTAACTGTTAGAGCTCTTCAACAGTGGAACTCTCTGCATTGGAGTGCAGTGGAGGCTCCTTCTTTAGAGACTTTTAAACAGATGCTGGGTGGCCATCTGTCAGGGGTGCTTTGGTTGTGCTTTTCCTGCATGACAGGTGGTTGGACTAGATGGTCCATGTGGTCTCTTCCAACTCTATCATTCTAAGTACAGCTGAAGCATCTTCTGCAGAGTCCACTGTCAACACTGCATAACAGAGTCACATAAATGGCGGAAACAGCCACCAGGTAAAGTTCAGAAAAAACATTGAACTAAGGGTATCCAATTTGGGGTCGAGACTCACAGTTTAAGAAGCAGTGTTCTAAGGGAATTATCACACCATGCTGTTTTTACCATCATAGCAATGCATTAATCCTGCTTGCATCTCAGAATTATTAGATAACATTATGACTCTCCAGGCCTTTTCGCACTGCAGAGTTGTTGAAAACGTGGATTTTCTTTTTTACCCTGGAAATAATCTGTTAACAAACTGTCTATCCCATGGTAATTCAGTAAGAAGTTCAAGTATAGATAGTGCAATCTTCCATCCTAAATAAATGTTCCCAAGAAAATCTGTGGCAGAAAAGTCTCAGGCCACTTCCAGTGCTCCAATGTGGAAAATGACTTTATTGGTGTGATTAAGCCCTTCTATACCATCTCTTAGGGAGCCCCCAGTGGCACAGTGGGTTACGCCACTGAGCTGATGAGCTTGTTGACCGAAAGGTCGCAGGTTCGAATCCAGGGAGCAGCGTGAGCTTCCGCTCTCAGCCCCAGCTTCTGCCAACCTAGCAGTTTGAAAACATGCAAATGTGAGTAGATCAACAGGTACCACCCAGGCAGGAAGGTAATGGCACTTCATGCAGTCATGCTGGCCGCATGACCTTGGAGGTGTCTACGGACAATGCTGGCTCTTCGGTTTAGAAATGAAGATAAGCACCAACCCCCAGAGTTGGACACGACTGGATTTAATGTCAGGGGACAACGTTTACCTTTACCTTTTAAACCATCTCTTAAATTTTGCTTGTTTTTTTTCCTATTTGCTGTTATAGCATCATAGCATGTCCTACTGTAATACCATAATACTATACTATAACACCATTGTAGCACTATTGCAGCCACAATGTTTGACAAGCAGAGTACAGAATTCAGTAATGACACCATTAATGCAGACCAAAAAAACAAAAACAAAACCCTGATGCAGATTATGCTCTTATACTGCAAATATGAAGAGCTTGTTTCCAAAAGATACCAAATCCTCCTGATTAAATTTTACAAGAGTTGGGGGGGGGGGGGGGCTGCTGAGAAAGTGCATTCTTTTGCTTAGTGATTTGATATATTTCGCCAAAGCGATTTGATATATTTTGATAGTTTTAATCTGTGCATAATGTTCTTCTCCTAGTAGCCAACAATGTACTGCCACTTATAACGGAATGGTACGATACGGCCCTAATTATCTAGGTATTCATT